TCACAAATAGATTTGAGTCTCTTTCTGACATTTACAGTAGACATAACAACCAATATTTTTAAGATACAATCAACAGGCGAAAACTTTGAAATAATGAAAGAGTAGGCTTTATCATAGAGCACTAATCCCTTGCACTATTTCATGAACTTGCTACTTGTTTTTTCCCTGCTATAGGCAGAATTTCTGGCTGCACATGTATAATAACATGTATCAGGTGAAAGCTGATATCATCATGCATGTACTTTTTTCTGGTTTATTACTTGAGTTTTTCTGTATTGCCTTATATATTCTCCCATCTTTTCCTTATGGCATGGGCCCATCTGGCCTGCTATTTTATCCTTTCTAGTGCCTATGATATTGGTCAAGGCAAGATCTCTACTCCAGGATTATTGTTGACTCAGAGAGGAGAGGGGGAGAATGGTGTGCATTTCTGTGTTGAAAATCAGGAAATCAAATTTCCAGGTCTAATTTCACCTGAATTTGAATTTATGTAAACCACAAATTCCATAAATAGCCAATGTAAAGTACAGCTGACCCCCACCTCCTTCACCTTCCCTGCTGATATAAGAGCCAAGTGAGATCATAGATGGGAAAGCTCTTTGGAAATAAGAGCTATTTATTATTTATAATCCAGGTACTGGGCTGATACTTCCCTGAGTCTGCGTGGGGTTCTTAGAACCCCTTGGAAGAGGCACATCTCTATCTGTGTTTCTGTCTTTAGTGATTCTGTTCATTACAGAATCTAAAAAGACAAAATATAGACCATCCTGTGGGCTCTGAAGGAGACCACAGATGGTCTGCAGATGCAAAGGGCCACGGTACATGGAAATTCTTAGACTGGCGTCACTCGTACTTACTGTATGTCTTAATTCTATTCTCCATTCAAGATTATTCCAAGATTCAGCCCTTCTGTGAAATGTCCTCTGAGAATCAAGACCACACGATTATGCACACAAAGCTAGTCACATAACAGATTGGTTTGATTGATTAGTAACTATTTGACTACAAGGAATTACATTAGGGTGTAATTCTCAAGGGATTTCTGGAGAACATGTCACTATCTCCTTGATTGAATTATTGCTAATAATGCCATGGTTACACCAAAGATAGGAAAATATTTTAAGAATATGCAAAGTTATTAATTTTAAACTTGAAAATACATTCTCACCTGCCCTGTTTAGCCCCACTTTTGTTCCCAAATGCAATAAAAAGCCCTACCAAGAAATGATCTGTACAACTGTTGCCACCTATAGGTGACAAATGTAGTATATTAATTTTATCAGAATTGTGATGAAGCACAATGTATGAAGGAAATGAAGATGTTTTATGGAACCTCTACGGTCCTTGCCAAATACTCATCTTTACTGGGTTTATTATCATTAGTATTATTTTTATGGTTCTTTAATTCTTATTTCAGATGCTCTCCTGAAAGATAACATAGGCTGATACATTTGTAAAGTTCTTTTTCAGGATAGAGGTTGAAAGTTAGGGCTCTGCAGGCAAGCTGCCTGCGTCCAAATCCAGACTTTACTGTGAACTGCTATCCGACCTTACCAAGTTAGTTGACTTCCTCAAGCTTTGATTGCCTGTAAATGGAGATACTAACGACACCTACCCCATAGAATTGATGCGAGGATGAAAGCAGATAATCCATGCAATGTGCTCAGCAGAGTGTCTGCACGTTAGAGGCATTCAATTAAATGCTAACTGTTATTACTGTGATTAGTTTGCAAAGCACCTTCCTATACAGTTGCTGCAAAGTACTGTGCATTGTTTTTGTTATCATTTGAGAGGTACACCATTAGCACATTACTGTTTGGCCTTGATCCCTCCTTGTATTTTAAATATAAATGTTATGTGCCTTCAGATTTTTAAAGATACTTGAGGTGTGACAAGGCAATGCAGAGACTAGTTCTGGGTGCTTCTGAATGGAGCAAGAAAATGAGCTACTTTAGTGCTTTCATACTTAATATTTGGGCAGGACTGCTGGAAAAACCCAAGCCAACAGCTGAGACTCTACAAAGATTGTGGTTTGACATACGTAGTGGCGTGGGTGTTGGGGATATTATTTTGTTTTTTCTTAATTTAAGCAAATAAATAAAAATAATAATTTTAAATATCAGCAAATATTATTCCAGATTTATGGCCTAACCTTTAAAAGCAAAAGCTCTGGGTGCACATTTCTGCACAACAGCACTAAGCTAGATTTAAGTAACTATTCCTGCTTCTGGACTAGGCACATGCTCTTGTGCTGACCACAGTCCTCACCATTCCCTATAGTTCCCCAATACTGAGGCTGAATGCCACCTGGCCCTTTTTGTCACTCTTGCACTGATGTTCTTAGAGTCAAAAAATGTCTGTACCCACCTCTCATCAAAACTGTGAAAATAAAAGGAAGACTGAGAAGGCCTTGTGATTTTTCTTAAAATGGGCAATTCCTTCATGGGGAAAATAGAAGTTCCTATGGCCAAAATCCTCACCTGACCCTTAACTACTTGATGGTGTAACTGGCCTTCTGCTAGGCTATTGCTTCCATACCCACAGGCAATAAGCTGTTAATGACTGAATCATATTTTGCCCAGTCTGGGCAGAGGCAGAGATGGAGATGGATTACAGACCTGCAGACTGTTGGATGCAGAAGTAATTCTAGTGCTTGTCCTATTGCTGAGAGAATAAGCTGGGTAATAAACCCTTTCACCCCAAAAACGTTCCATTGTTATTCCTCCATCTCACTGAATCCACACTGAACTTGCCTGGGACTGAAACCCTCAGGCAAAACACCTTCCTTTCCATCACCTCCCTGGCCAACCTAGGCCTTAAGATTGATTGAAGAAACGAGCCTCCAAGTATGAAATGTTTAGAAAACATGGTGCACTGTTTGTGTCCCATAGACGGTGGATATTGTAATAGTAAATAACTCCTTCCTCATCTTGACCTTAATAACACTGAATTGCACTTATCACCCACCTGTCTGTCTCCCCTCCAAGATTACAAGTTCTTTTAGACTCATGGTCCTCAAATGTAGCATGTATCAGAATTACCTGGTGAGCTTGTTAAAAATATTTGCTGGGCCTCAGGCTTTCAGAGGTGGTAAGTCTGGGTGGGACTCCAGATCTGCATTTTGAACAAGCTCCCATGTGAAGTTGCTAATGCTGCAGGCCTAGAGAGCACGGTGTAAGAGCCTCTGTCCTAGAATGAGAGTCTTACGTACCGTTACTTATTTGTACCATTTGTTGAGCACCTACCACTATGTGTCAGGGTCTGAAGGTGTTTTATTTCTAATACTTCCATCAATCCTGAAATAAAGGCACGTCTTATCACAACTTTACACCTGAGAAGGGATACTCCCAGGCCCTCACACATCCACAAAACAGGCCCACAAAATGGGCAAGGCCAAGATTCAAGCTCAGGTCTGTCTGCCTCAACAGCCTCCACTTCCCCCTACAGGACATGGTTGTATTCAGCCATGTATCATTTTCACCAAAACCTTCCACCTGATTGCTGGTAGCTTTACCAATAGGTATTTATTGAAGGAAATTGAGATCCACATTGCCAAGAAACACGCAAGGAAAATGCTTGTGATTCTTGAATAAAGACTAAAAGAGAAGATATTCAGGTGAAGAGAAATTACACTGAATGCCCTCTTTTTACTCATATTTGGTGCATCCCACTCTTTCCAAGTATTTTTAGTATTATCCTATATAAGTCTTTTTTTAAATGCCTAAAAATTAGCATGACATATAAAGGGGCTCTTGCCTGGTGTTTTCCTAATCATGGAGCAACTTTTCTATAATAGGAATCTATTCCCTAGTCTGCCTCTAATTTCAAGGTAGCCATTGGAGATTGAAAATTGGCTCCATCAGTAATATTGCAGTAGATTGATATATGATGAAATAAGCACCCCTTTAAGGCAGGGAAGGCAGCCAGACAGGAAATCTAGTCATGTTTTGTGTCACTTGCTGAGCAACCTTGGGCAAGTAACACTGTCACTCTGAGCCTTGTTTTCTTGTCTTTAAAATGGGGGTGTGTGACTTGCAGATTTGTGAAAAGGCTTATTGACAAAGTATGTTCAGTATCTTTTACATGGTGGGTGCTTAATGGTAGTTATTATTGTCACGTCTAAGTCTTGGTTCTACTTCCTTGTGTTTGGATACGTTTGCCTGAAAGAGGAAAAGAAGCTGAGAAATGGGTTATGGTCTTTAACCTCTCCACACTTACTGCTTTTTGCATCTGTTTCTCGCTTTCCTTTTACCTCAGACCTTAGGAGTTACTTGAACAATTGAATATATTCATGTTTACAGGGTTTCCCTACAATAATCATTGCATGTGACTGCAGTGTTTTATAAAGTCCTAGAAACCACAGATAGCATCCTATAAATATCCCTGTTTGAATCAGTATTATTAGAATCTCAGGGGGAGAGGTTGCTAAGGTGCAGGTCTGTCACTTATTTTTTGAGGCCTTGGACCTTTTAGAATCTACAACCAAAGACCTGAAGATATTCTTTCAAATATCTTAGGACTTGTGAAGGGACAATATACAGACATGACAAGGCTTCTGACAATTTTAATGTGTAAATTTCATGCAATTTGAGGAACTGTATGCTTTTTTTTTTCATATAGCCGTATGCTGGCTGAAATTCAATCTCTACCCATATTTAGAAACAGGACAACTAATAATTCTTACTAAGAAGAGAGAGGAGCTTGAAACTTTAAGAATAAGGCACTTTACCTGAACAAATTTCAAATGGATCCATTTAAAATGAAATTAAGTGGCACTTAACCGGTTTGCAAATTGGGACCTATTTATCTCAGTAAAATGATTAGAGTCTTGATTTATCCTGAAAATTGCCTTTATTATTACATTTAATTATTGTTAAAGACTTGTAGGTTCTCTCTATCCCTTTAAACTTCACTTTATACAGGAAATAATTGAATATTGGGTGGAATAACTTGATTTTTCAATGAAATATGTCTCTAATATTTTCCTCTTTTTATTGCAGAAATTGAAACAAGTTGAAGAAACAAAAGGAGATCCTGAGAATAGATTATCTAAAATATCCCTGGAGTCGTTCAATAACTATAACAGCAAAACTGTGACTTTATTAGAAAAAGAGAAGAACTCACTGAACAAGGTTGAAGAACAAAAGGAAGAAAAAGAAAGAAATGAACAGGCATCTTTGAGTAGCTCTGATAGGCCTGGGGTAGACAATTTAGAATCTCTGAGTGATTCTTTATATGATAGCTTTTCTTCCTGTGCAAGTCAAGGTTCAAATGATGTATAAAGGACTTGTGTTTCCTTAGTGAGCTGGAAATGGAGCACTTAAGAAACAGGGGTGGCAGGGCAGCAGGCAGAGTGACAACAAACTCCTTCAACACCAGAGCCTACACTGTTAGATTCACAGCAAGCAACCCCCTGGAGCTTACTATCTTGACAGGGCAGGAAAGATCAACTCCATTTGTCCTGCTTCAGGAGAATGGAAAACAAACACACCGACAATATAGTCTTAATTTTGCACTTTTTTTTTGAATACTTGTACAGAAGTTGTAAATTTTTTGGAAAAGAGATTATATTTGTAGCAAAAAAAAAAAAAAGCCAGCAATAAACTGAATCAGTGCCATGCTCTTGAAACGATGTCCTAGATCTTAGAAGTTGATAATATATTTTTAAAAAATTCCAACTAAAGTTTGTGTTCAGTTCAGTGTCCTAGTCCTTCGATTGTTTGTGGGTACACTCTGTAAAGCTACACCAGGGCCTGACAAAAACCAGATGGCTTACTGTAATCTCTATCTTGCTATTTCAATTGGATATAAACTTAAATTCTAGTACAATTTCCAAATTGTTGCTGGAAAGATTCAAGTTCTAGTAATAAGTGTAATTCTGCTCCTACTGAAAAAGGTAAATGGTATTGACGTGTGACACTGGTTGGAAGGGGTAAGTGACAGAAGGGATAAGGGTCAGAAGTGACCTGATTCCATTTTCAATAGCAGGTTTTCCCTCCAAGCATTTTCTACATTCTCTTGTACTCAGTGCTCTATGATTCTCAACATTGTTGATTTTATCTTCCTGCTTTTTATTAAAATACGGGCAATCTAAAAATGAGAGCAAATTCCTGTTTGCAACGTTCACTTTTTTAAACGTTGCAAGGAACTGTTTAAAAGGAACGGTTGGTGCTAAAAAAATTCCTACATTTTAATATCCTTTTTTCTACAAAGTCTGTTTATATGTAAGGATAAATTCTATTTTAAAGGTTATTTGTATTTTTTCTAGATGTGAACTATTTATAAGTGCTTTTGTACAGGAGCTTGTAAACTAGGTATAATAGAAATATTTTTAGGATCTATATGGTTACTTTAGTACATATTTGTTTAAGAGTATTGTATGATCAGTGTTATTTAGTTAATTTGTGCAATTTGTTACATTTTAATTTTATCTTAAATGAAAATTATGTAAAGTGTCATTGTCTTTCAGACTTAATTATTTTGATTCATTTCTGAATAAAAGTCGTATTACAATCGCACCCTTTTGAAAACTTTAAAGAAGTCGTTCAAGGGCCCTTTGGCCCAGGTATTTAAATCACACACGTGCTCCAAGATGAATTCCCCAAAGAATCAATAAACGGGCCCTTTTGCTCCAGGATAGTTATTCAGCCAATTATAAGGCCAGAGTCTGCAGACAAGCGACTAATGGTCAAAGCATTTCAGTCTCCCCGAGAGAGGTTAATGACTAGATATAAAAGAAGAGAGAAGCAAAGGGAAAGGAGCCTGAGGCAGATGTGGTACGATCTTTGCAGAGGAATTACAAGAAAGTCATTTCCAGCCCTGCTCTGCTGGCAAGGGGGGGAAATAAACAATCAGCGTCCCGGCCTGAGAGCTTCCTCCAAGAGAAGGCCCAAGGTGCAGTGTGAGGACTGGCGAAGCTTATGAAGCTACTTCCACAGAGACGGATGCTCCCAGGGGACTTGGGAGACTGGCGGGGGGCGGGGGCGGCAAGGCGCCCGCGACTGGCCCGCAGGCTCGCGCACCACCTGCTGCAAGGCTCGGCTGCGGGGACGGCGAACTGCACAGTGGCGTCCCCGGGAGAACTCGAGGTGGGTCGATCGGCCGGGAGAGGAGAAATGGTGGGAGGGGACCCAGGCGGGCAGCGCCCGGGCCCCGGTCTGGGACGGCGCGCAGAAGAGGACGCGAGGACATGCCCTAGGAACCCGCGGCTCTGGGGAGAGCAGGAGGAAGCTGTCCGGCTTTCCGGAGGCAGGGGATAATAGAGAGCAACTCCCTTCTTCACCCGACTTTGCTTCCTACTGGAGGCTGGCGCGGTTGTCCCCGGGGCGACCCTCTCCTAGACCGGGCTACCCGGGCCCTGTCACCACACCTCCCGCGGGGCGCGCCGGCCGGAGGAAGAAGGACTGCCGGGACCAGCGCGCCAGCCAGGTCTAGGGCCCGCCCGGCCGCAGCTGAAGCCAAGCTTACTAATGAGGGGGGCTTCCTGGAGGAGGAGCAGGCGCGGCTGCACCGGGTACCCGGGAGAGCCTGCAGGTGTGCGACTCAACCAGGCGCACGGGAACGCGCCCGCTCCCGCCCGCAGCCCCCCTGGCTGGGCGATCTGACTCCGGCCGCCCGCCGGCCCGGGCTCCGGGAAGGTGGGGAGCGTGCTCTGTGCTGGCAAGCAGGCCTCCCCCACCGCTCCCTGGCGGCACCTGCTGCGCCTCCCCAATCTCGGAAAACTCCCCGCTCCCTCTCCCCCTGCCGCCCCATTCCCGGGGATGTGCTAAGGCGGGAGAGGAGGGAGCTAGGAAGGGGTGGGGACTGGGAAAGATTGTCCCAGTCTTCCCCGCCCTCCACCCCCACCCCAACTCGGCAGCCGTCACGTGGTGCCTGGAGTGGGAGGTGGGGAGAAGAGGCGAGACTTTTTTGGGTGCTCGGGAGCGTCAGTACTTCCTTCAGTCTCAGCCGCTAACTCCGGCGCCGCCGCGCTCTGCCCTGGAGCGCGAGCCAGAGGAGCGGCGCCCCGCAGACCGGAGCCCGGGCGCGGGCGATGCTGGAGCCGCCGGCGGCACCTGCGGCTCCTCCGGGCGGGGGCTGCGGTGGCCTGGGCGGCCGTAGCGCGGGCCCCGGCATCCTCGGCAGCCACAGCCGCTGCGGCCCGGGCAGCCTCCGCCGCGGTCGCCGCCTCTGATGCGCCTGCCCGCGCCCGGCCCCGCGGCTCCGGGAGGATGTGGGTCCTCGGCGTCGCAGCAACTTTCTGCGGATTGTTCTTTCTTCAAGGTAAGAAGACGAAGAGACTAGCAGCCTGGGCAGGCGCGCGCACCCGACCTACCCGCTGGCCCCTCCGCCCCCGGGCTCCCACTTCCCGACGCGCGTTGCGCTGGGGTGGCCCAGCGGGATTTGGTGGCGGCGGCGGCTGGGGCCCAGAGGCGTGGATGGGAGAGCATCCGAGTCCCGCGCTGCGCGAGGAGAGGCGGGAACGGCGGGTTTGCGGAGCCCCAGCTCCAACTGCAGGTGCTCGGGCGGCACGGTCTCGAGAACCTGGGGCGGCGGGAGGGCCCGAGCAGTGCCCGAGCCTCCGCGAGGGAAAGGGGGCCAGAGCTCCTGAACCCCGCCAAGTTGTCAGACATCTCTGGCAAGCGCTGCTAGTGGCGCCGCCGGCAGGTGAGCGGCGCGTGGGGCAGCCTGGGCTCCGGGCGCGCGAGGCAGGGTTGCGGCGCTCTAAGCGCAGGCGGCTGTGGGGCTGGGATGCGGACGCGCCGGTCTGGGGCTCACCCGCCCGGGAGCAGGAGGAGTTAGGGATAGACTAGAGCCAGTAGATCCGAGCGGAGCAGCAGGGCTGGAGCGATGAGAGGTGCAGAAACATCTCCGTCCTGCTCTCTAGTAAGCAACCGGCAACCTCGACAAATGGTGCCCTGAAAGCCGGGAAGAAAAGGCTGTGGTGTAGCGGCTCGGGTGTGTGCGTGTGCACACTTGCCCCTTTCCACACGCTGCGGCCACCCCTGCTGTTGCAGGAACGTCCCGAGGACAGGCTGGAGACTTGGGGCACAGTAGCAGTCGGCGGCCGGCACATCCTCCGGGCGTCCCGGCTGGTCCCGTAGGGAGCCTAAGCAGCCCCAGCGCAGGAAAACTGACATCAAAAATAAGACTAAAAAGGCGTCAGGGAATGCAATCGCGAAAGGTGTTAAAGTAGTAATTAAGTAATTTGTAACCGCTTAACAATTAGGCGAATCCTTTGGCGAAGACGAGCTGCTGCTGCACGTCTCTGGAGCTTCGCTCTCGGGTTGTATCCCTCTCTTTTCCGCTTCTATGGTGCTCTTTGTTTCTGGAGCGTTGGTCCGGGGGCAGCGGGCAGAATTACACCTCATTCTGCTGGACCCTGGGTGTCCGCGCCGCCCCTGCGGGTTTCCGCCACGTCTCTTTACTTAAAGACCCGAGAGCGCGGAGCCCGAGAACCCCAGGGGTCAAGATGCCCGGTGTGCAGGGGCTTGAGCGGGTCATGCTTTCCGTACGGTCCCTGTGGGGGTTGGATCTGAACCCGACTGCGTCTGTCCCGCAGGCTTTGCGCTGCAGATCCAGTGTTACCAGTGTGAAGAATTCCAGCTGAACAACGACTGCTCCTCCCCCGAGTTCATCGTGAACTGCACAGTGAACGTTCAAGACATGTGTCAGAAAGAAGTCATGGAGCAGAGTGCGGGTAGGCCTCCGACAGCCCTGCTCCTCCCCTCTCCAGCCGGCCAGGGGTGGGAGGGAGCGGGCCGGTAAATCACAGGCTACAGGACTGACTTTGATGGAATGCACACCCTGGTTATCACAGATTTACTTTTACAGTGCTGAGAAAATGAAGAGTTCCAAGTTACTTTAATCTCATTAGAGTTAATTGCCAGGGCTTCTCCCCAAGGGACGCAGGCGGGGAAGTGCATTTGAATTAGTGGCTCTCCTCTGTTTACTCCCCTGACCCCCCCACCCCCTCTGCTAAAAGCTGATCAGGAGGTTCAAAGTATACGGATAAACAGCAAGGCTTGGGCGTAGCCTGTGAGCGATGTCAGCCTGAAATATGAAGCTAGTTGAAGTGCCCAGAGGTCAGAGCTTGAAAAATGTGTTTTGTCATAGAGCCATGCCATATTTCTTTAAAGAACACTATGGGATCTTTATTTAATTTTAGAACTAATGCATCAAATTCCAGGCACAAATTGCCAAGCTCTTTCAAAGGAATGTAGTTCCCAGCCCCACAAGCTGGCTGAGGAGAGGGCCTGGGTGTCAAGCAAGGGCAGAAACGGGGTGTTGGGAGAGCAGTTTCACTTACTCACTCCAGCTGATCAAAGTCTTCTCACTGAGGCGGGAGTCCCTACCCCCTCCCAATAGTCTTATCCAAAATCAAAGTCCCCTAAAAGGGCAACTGGAACTTTGAGGAAATGGGTGAACTGTGGCTTCATTTCCAAGGTCAAACCCATCAACAGGGCTGTTGCCATTTTAAGGATAGTGAAAAGATAGTTTGGTGAATGACCCGAAGCCTTGCCCCTCACTAGTCTGCTGAAGTGTACTGCCCACAGCATGGCAAATAGGTTAGAACTGTGAAGTGATTCCCCTAAGCCACTAGCAAATTAACACAAGGGCTGGTCTTACAGCCCGCCCCTTGCAAAAGTGCGTCCTTCACAGAGAAGGGCCTGGAAATGTCTTGCTGCTGGCCACACGGTTGTGGGGAAGCTGAGAGCTCACTGCTGTGCCATGATGGGGGTGTGTGCCAGTTTAAGGGCTGTTCTTTGTACATCATCACTGGCCTGGGTGTGAATTCTTACCACCAGAGCACCTCTCGGGGAAAGTCTGAGTCATCATTGCCCTCAAGAATAAGTCTTCCCAAGAACAGTAGCATGTGCTGGTTTGCCATAAGGATTCGGGCTATTAAAAAAGCAAAACAAAACTTAGCGATGATTCTTGAGCTAAGGTGAATATAGATGATTTTGGTAAGTTGTTTCTTTTCTACTTGTGTTTCATTCTTGAGCACTTTACCGGAGCAAAAATTGACTGCCCTTTTACCAGAGGAACTGCTGTGATTTGAGTCAGAATCTCTCTGAACACTTTGCTTCTTTCAAATATTTGCACCTTTCTTCCAGGCAGTATTTTAGAGCCAGAAAAATGCAGAATTTACTATGGACGTGTCAGGAACTTCCTCGGAATCCTCTGCCTACCTGGGCATCATATTTTACAAGCTGGGATACGGTTACAAGGAGAGAAAAGAGATATGAGCCAAATGACAGCCAGAAGAGGTGTCCTTTTTCTGAGAGACATTTCTTCCTCTCTTAAAGTGGATCTGGGATGAATATCACACACTCCATTTTCAAAGTACTGTTTTTCTCCTTGCTTGAATCTCGCCAAACCACACAGTAATAAAGGCAGAGCGGGCATTATAATGCCTATCTTATCTGTGGGAGCCTTTAGCACAGACAGTCTGTAAGTGCTGGGCCTGAACTTACTCTTAGCTCAGTCAAGGTGGGCCCCTTGTCTCCAAACCAGGTTCCTCTGGCTGCATCTCACAGGTCAATAGGTGGGCAGAGCCTGAAGTAAGGTAATCAGTTGTGAAGTCTAAGAAACAGTTAATGGAAAAACCAGTTATAAGGGGGGCACTCAACGTTCTGTGTACATGGAATTGGCATTCTGAACCTGATTCCTGTAGAAACTGGCCAAATGTACATCCTGTGTCAAAAGGGCAACGTTCAGGGTGGCTTCCAAGGCACTTGCATTTTCATCTCCATGTACTTGTTAGAGCAGATCAGTGAGGCTGCCCGCTCTCCTCGGGTTGGTGGGGACGGAGAGCCAGCCTGATGCTGATGAAGTAACCACAGCTCAGGACAGTCGTCCAGCAGTGAGAGCTGCCTTCTGGTGTGAGCCCTGTGCATCAGGCACTGTCCTCGGCACTTTACGTGGAGTGTCTCAGGAAATCTGGTGACCCTCTTTTGAGGCCCTTGTTTCTACCAGCTCCTAATTCTATTTCAAGGTTAGCTTCTCCACTCTGGAGGAAGAAAGTCATGCCTGTTAAATGATACTATTAGGAATCAAAGTAAGAATTGTTTTACTTGATCAATAATATTGTTCTGAGAAGTCTTAGCATGTTAGATCTGGAAGGGTTCAGTGACTCCTAGTTGAAGGTGAACATCAGAATCTTCCTGGGGGAGTTTTATTCAAATCCACATGCCTCATGTCCCCACTTGCAGAAGCGAGTTTTGGAGGCTTGTGGTGTACTTGGCCTTGCAGCTTTTATAAACTCCTCACTCGATGCCTTATTTGGAACTGCTAATCTAGACCAACCTTGTGCCCTAGAGGAGGAAAACAAGGTCTAGAAAAGTTAGATGTCTGTTTCAAGTCCACCAGCCAACTGCTTCCTGGTCCACTGATGTTCCTTACAGCATATTGTAAAACGTCCCCAGGTTTGCCTGAAAAGAGAATCCAGGCAAGGTGCTACAGGCTGGGCTGATTTTCATGTCTGTTAAATTCACCTAACAGGCTTAGTGAACTGGTTAAGTGGATGGGCCACAAGGTGGATGGTGGAAGGCTATGGGAACCTGCTAGTAGAATTTTGTAAGTTTGAGTGCTTGTGGACTGCCATTTTTCATAGTGTAGAAAAAAACAAGAGTTTTAAACAGACTAAGAGATTTTAATGATCCAAGCAAGTTTGACATTAAGCTGAAATGAAAGGCATTCTCTATCCAAAAAATACCAGCAATACAATATGCCCAGGCCTTTAGTTGGTCCTTTCTGGATTAAGTCTGCAAACTCAGCTCTTATGAATTTTGAAGCTGGTACATTTAATTTTCAATTGGGAAGTATATTTAAAATTAACCTTTCCTATTCCCTAGAGTGGCATTCCTAGTAGGTGCTGAGATTATTTTCTGCTGTTCTTTGTCCCCTGGTCATTTCTGGAGTAATAAGGCTTGGACTGGGCTGTGGGGAAGGAAAGGCTTCTTTCATTGTCCTTACTAATTGATATTTAAATGTTTGCAGAACAAGTGACTTGTTCTCACAAGCTCTGCACTTAATGAGCTGGCATCTACTTCCCAGCACCCTTGATAATGAAATTTCTTTTGCTGTTGCTTATCACTGCACTCTGCAAAATATTTCAAACATTGATTTTCATTTCAGAATAGAAGCCCCTCACCAATAAGAATTTTTAAACCAGCATATAAAGAATGGGAATTTGCATTTGTTTGACAGTGCAATCCTGTAATTAGAGTTTTTCCTCTTGACTAGATAAGTGAAAGGGGCGTAATTTAATTTTTATAGACTAGCCAATTTCTGCCCTTAATGAAATATAGCTCTGTCAGTGAGCAAAATGTTACAGGTTCTCCTAAACCTTATTTAAAAGTTAAATGCAGTATATTGAGAGAAAGTTCATGGTCTGAATCAGTAACCTAATCGATCTCTTCACCCATCCATTGCAACATGCATTAATCTATTTGTCTGTTTTGCAATACAAGAGTTACTGATTTATATGCCATGTTACATCTACATTTATGGCTGTATAAGTAATGGCTATTTTCCTTTTGGATTGGTTAGTTGCTCATTAAGTTGGACAGGGATGGCTCCATGCCTCAGATAGGTAAATTTTACACCTTTTTCATGAGCTAAATAAGGGATAGCAAATGAGGACCTGATGGTCCCTAAAATAATCAGTCATCCACTCACAGCAGAAAGAAATAAAAAGCCAACCATGGCCTATATTTCTCCAAGTATATGTCCTGCTTAATTTCACCGCAGCTTAAAACAATAGGCTCTGGTTTGTCCTTGGGGTGGACTTGGCAGGAAGAAGGGCCAGTTCTGCTAATCAATATTATATCACAGTCCCTTTTATACCAGGATTCTTTAAGGAGCACACATGCACATATGTGCACCCACACACACAAAATGGCACATCTGTGTATGTATATTTTTGTGTTTGCCTGTCTATATTTGCATACACACTTACATAAACCTTGTTAGAAAAATAAAAATATTAAGTCCTCCTTTGCTGATGTTCAAGTCATAAATTACTTAATCTTAAATCGTATGCAAAAAGACATTTTCTAACATTTTTTTCCCAGAACAACTGTGTTAGAAAGACCAGTGATATGTTAATCTTTCAGTGGTCCCCTCACCACCACTGTCCTATCTCTTTCCTTCTCCTACCATCACTGTCCTGTCATTTACCTTTTAGACATCCCACCTATAGTCCTTTCTCACCCTCAGATCCATTTTGAATCAGGTGGACTGTGCTCTAAGAAAAAAGTAAAAAAATCAAAGTCCAAAAAAAGTCACTGTATTTTAATTTTGCCAAGGAGACTTCAACAGGTTGCAAAACTTTAAAAAAGAGTTGTCAGGAAAGATATCCTCATATATTAACAGCAGCCCTGCTAACAAGGTTTCCATGTCAACTTCAATAAAGTTATAAATTACACAGGATAAGATTCTGTGCAGTGCATGTCAATATCACTCCCTCCTTTTCAGCAGGACACTAAAAGAACACCTTTCTCTTTAGGGCAAGACATTTTGCCAATCAGTTTGTTCACTTAGTCCTCAAGAAGCATCTGTCTCTCTTTCATGTGGCAGGCTCCGCTGGCTGCTGAGGACTACTGGGCACATATCAAATGTCTTCAGTTTCTTGGACTCTCCTGTAAACTGAGCATTTGTTTATGTTAACTTTTCCAGCTGAACAAGCAGCCAGTG